TTGCAAGTCTGGCTAGACCAGAGATGTACACTGGTACAGATAGGAACTGGAAACACAGGGAATCCAGGGCGGATGATCCCTTCAGGACCAGTGGTATGAGTGACGATACTGGGAGGGTAGTGGGAGAGTGGGTTGGAAAGAGGGAATCGATTACAAGGATCTACATGTGACCTCCTCCCTGGGGGACGGACAACAGAAAAGTGGGTGAAGGAAGACGTGGGACAGGGCAAGATATGACAAAATAAAAATTTATAAATTATCAAGGGCTCATGAGGGAGGGCGCAGTGGGGAGAGAGGGGAAAAAATGAGGACCTGATGCTTGGGGCTTAAGTGGAGAGAAGATGTTTTGAGAATGATGAGGGCAATGAATGTACAAATGTGCTTTGCACAATTGATGTATGTATGATTGTGATAAGAGTTGTATGAGCCCCTAATAAAATGATTTTTTTTTAAAAAAGAGTTACAGTCTCAGAAATTCGAAAACCCAGAGTATCATTCTACTCTGTCTATAGGAGACCTATGAGACAGGAGAACGGGGCTGTCATAGATGTTAGAGTTAGATAGCAGAAAATACATGGCATTCAGAATTCCTAGTCATGATGTTCATGTTCTCACTGCCAATGAGTCAATTCTGACTCATAGCAACCTTATAAAACAGGGCAGAACTGTGGGGTTTTGTTCTCCCATACGGCAACTAGGTAGCATCACAGTGCATAGCCCACTAAGCCACTCGGGCTCAGGCTTCCAGCTCATTGTTGTTAGGTGCATCGAGAGGGCTCCAACTTATAGCAACCCTATGCCCTGTGCCATCCTCCCAATTACCCTTATGTTTGAGCCCATGTTGCAGCCACTGTGTCCATCCGTCTCATCAAGGGCCTTCCTCTTTTCACTGCCCCTCCGCTTTACCAAGCACGAGGTCCTTCCCCGGCACTCGTCTCTCCTGACAACATGTACAAAGTATGTGAGATGAAGTCTTGACATCATTGTCTCTAAAGAACGTCTGGTTATACTTCATCCAAGACAGATTTGTTGGTTCTCTTGGCAGTCCGTGGTACTTTCAATATTCTTAGCCAGCACCATAATTCAAACATGCCAATTCTTAGTCCTTAACTATTCCTTGTTTGTTATGAGCCACACCTAGTTTGTTAAGAATACTTCCGACTCATATTGCTGTTGTTGGTAGGTGCTATTCCACTCATGGCCACCCTGTAGACAATAGAACCCAAACCCTCCAGGTCCTCCCTCGTCCTTACAATCGTTCTTATATTTGAACCATCGATGCAGCAACTGTGTCAGTCCGTCTCATGGAGGGCTTTCCTCTTTGTTACTGCCCCACCACTTTACCAAGCATGATGTCCTTCTCCAGGGACTGGTCTTTCCCAGTAGCATGTCTGAAGGATGAAGTTTCTCCATCCCAGCCTCAGAGGAGCATTCTTACTTCTGTACATCGTCCAAGACAGGTCTGTTTATTCTTTTGGCAGTCTATAGCACTTTCACTCTTCTCCCAACAGCATAGTTCAAACCCATCAATTCTTCTGCTGTCTTCCTCATTCAATGTCTAACTTTCATGTGCATATGTGGTGGTGGAAAATACCATGGCGACGACTCATAGCAACCCTATAGAGCTGGTAATAGATCAGATGCATACTTTCCTTTTTGCAGCGTTCCCCTCACATTCTTAATTCCCATTCCTCACCAACTTGGTCCCTGAAGTCACTTGAGTTTGCAATTCCTATGTTAAACCCAGACAATCCCTGCTAGCTCCGTGGTTAAAGCACGGAGCTGCTAACTAAAAGACCCATGCTTCATACCTAGCTACAACTCCATGGGAAAAATATTTTGCAGTCGGCTTCCATAAAGGTTTCAAAACCAAACCAAACTCCCTGATGTCTATTTGATTTTGACCCTTCGAGACCCTGTCTATAGGATAGAGCAGAATTGCCCTTGTGGGTTTCTGAGACTTACCTTTTTCCCGGAGTGGAAAGCCTGCTCTTGTCTCTAGTGACTCTTTGCCAGAGCAAAAAGTCTTCGGCTTTTCTCCCACAGAGTAGTTGATGGTTTCCAACTGTTGACCTTGCGGTTAGCTGTGCAATGCATGACCCACTAGCCACCAGGGTTCCCGTAAAGATCGCAAGCTTGAAATCCCTGTGGGCAAGTTCTACTCCATCCTACAGGGTTGATAGGAGTCTGACTAGATGTCAGTGGTTTTTCAGGGACTTGGGGGACCTATGGTGTTTCTTATTAATCCATGTGAATGAGCAACATCAATGTGATCCTATTTTAGACAGGACTGATAATCCCTCAGGAGTCCTGGTGATGACGTGGGTTAGTGTTGGGTTGCTGAGCAGCCAGGGGTTTTACCCACTAGCCACTCAATGGGAGAACGATGGGGTTTTCTGGTCCCATAAAGATTCACAGTCTCTGAAACCCTACAGAGCAGTTCTGTTATGTGCAGATCTGTGAAATCTGCTAGATGGCAATGGGTTGGGGTTTAGGGTAATTACCAGTGACTTTTTAGACTACCATGCATTTGGATCTCCAGTGCACTCCCATACTTACAGCCAGAAGAAATGTCTTTTCCACATATCAGCGTCTCTCTAGCACGCCCCGGACATTCGGCAGTGCAGTACAGAGACGCGCGGGCTTCCAGGAAGTTCTCATACCAAAGGCGAGCTGTTGTTTTATTTATCCTCATCACTTGAGATCCTTGTCGCACGTCGTTTTTATAAAAATAAAAATTTCTTGGTTGGCAATTCTTAATTGCTGCTTGACAATATATCGAAATATTCATCCCCATCTTAAAAATTGTGGCTGGTTCTACCCAGATGTGGCCAGAGCAGCTTATCGTTGTCATTCCTGGAAATAAAATGAGAAAATTGGAAACCCTGTGCAAAATATTAGAACAATATTCTGAAAGACTATGCTGCTGCATTTGACAATTTTTAAATAAATTAAATGATTTTCGCTGAAAGAAACTCGGATTTCCCCCCGTCAGTTAGTTGAACCCTGTGTAACGTTATCAGGCTCCTCTTGATGTTCATTAGTGTAAACCCACGGTCAGAGTCAGCCTTTAAACTTCTCTAATTTGCTAAAGAGCAGAGCTTCCAACCGGTTCATTCCGGTTCTACCCTTTGCTGAGAATTTGCATTTCTATGCCAGATGATCCACTGAATCAGACTCTTGGGGGAAATGACCAGTGTGAAGCCTGCTAAAGAGCAACTATAAGTAGATTTCCTATTTTAAATCCTGTCCTCTGTTACACAACCAATCGTTGGTTCCCTTGTAGTTATATTGGCTGCTTTCCTTAGAACATTTTGAATAGAATGGATAAAGGCATACTCTTACCAACGGTTAAAAACCTATTGCTTGATAACCAATTAAAATGTAACATAGTTTAGTAATATGAGGACATGTTCAGAATACATTATTGAGTTTGTAAAAAGCAAATTACAAAACGTTATATATTTAACCCAGAGATAATGTTCAAAAGAAATAAATGGACGGATGAATTAAAGCAAAATACACTAAGGTAACAGCAATGATAATCTCTGTATTGGGTTAATTTTATCGTATTTTAATGACATATTTCTTTGGTTTAAATATTTTAAAACTTTAATAAATCACTAATCATTTATGGTTAGGATTCCAGTTTTTTTAAAAGACCTTGTCTTTAGAATACTAAGCTTAAAGAATTACCTTGTGTAATATAAATGTCATTAAATATTTCCATTTATATAGTAAACTATGCTTGTCAGTTATTTTAAAGTTAAGTAACATAAAATGCCCCAGTGCAGTGGTTAAGCATTCAGCTGCTCACTGGGAAGTCGGTGGTTTGAACTGACCAGCTGCTCTGTCAGCGACATGGCCTGACCACCTTTCCCTCCAGATCACAGCCTAGGAAACTCTGTGGGATATCTCCACTCTACCAGAAAGGGTTGCTAGAAATTGGAATCCATTCTTGGGCACACAATGACAACAACTGCTGAAGTCATAGTAAAACACCAACCCCATGGCCATCAATAGGAAACTGCTGCCAAAGATATAACGAACTTTTAAGAAACATCTGGCTACTATAAATAAGTCCAACAATAATTCAAATTCAGGTAAATTACATATTCAACACCTTAAGAAATAGATTCTACCATGGGACCACTGTGAGTCAGCTTTGATAATATGTGGAAAATGGTAAAGATGTCAGACCTAGATTTGGTGAAATACTGCCCTGGTTTTCAAAACTGAAAGCTAAAGGAGCCTCAGAAACTCTGTCTCACCAAGCTTCCCAATATTCAGGAAGGAATTAGTAAGGTGATGATTTTTCAGTATAGAGGGGGGAAAACATGAATCAGTTGGAGTCAATGTGGATTATATAAGCCATACCAAGACACATAAATATCCCATTTTATTTTAATAGGATTATTAAAAGTGCTAAGCATAATAGTTTTTATTGAAAGGAGGTGATATATTCAAACAGAAAACTAGAGGGACTGTAGTCTAGATAACTATCAAAAGCAGGCTGAACAATGATTCCTAAAGGATATCTGTTGAGGTCCCGAACATCTACCATAAAGACTTGTCTTGTTTGTCTCTGCCTCTCTATCCATCACTTGAATGCATTGAAGTGTTGTTATTAGTAGTTATAATTTGCAGATTTCAAGAATCCTGGAAAGGTTGCTGGTGTCTTGTTTCCCTTGACCCATCTTGAATCTCTGTTCTTCTGACTTGAGACCTATTCTAGACTATCCTGCTGAAGAGTCCCAGTTGTGACCAGTCTCCATCTCTGGCATAACACGGCCCCAACTCTCCTTAGTCCCTGTTCTGAGTTACTTAAATAACCTACAGAACTCTCCTAAGAATAGGGCCATACCTTGCTCTTGCCTGACTCCTAGTCATTGAATCTCTACTTCCTACACAAGATTTTATTTTTACAAAGGAGTTGGTGTCTACTCAACTCCAATTCATGTGTGCCAGAGTAGTATAGTACTATGTTCCGTATAGTTTTGACTGAGCTTTCCGAAGTAGAGCGACAGGCCAAACCTCCAACTTCCCACTTAGTAGGCAAGCATTTTGCCCATTCCCACCATTCAGGGACTTCTTCTAACCCCAAAGGAAATTCTCCAATACCAGCTGCTGCCCTGCCATAACTTCTGGCAATCTCCTTCCTGGCCTTGTCTGATATGCCTCAGCCTGTCTCTTGGGACTCAGTACTACCTCATGATGCCAAGTGTTGGTGTGAATTAAAATCATTCAGAGCACATAGCTGCATGGCATTAAGGCAGGCACATCACAACCATTAACAGAAGCCTTGTTGAACTAAATTCAATTTTTTGTTGGGTTATCTTATAACAGTTAAATCATTCAAAGGCAGAACATGCCACCACAAACTAGTGTTTTCCTTCATGGAAACCCTCATATAAGGGTTCAAGGACTGTCTATAAGAAATGATCTAGAAAGAAACCCTTCATATGGAGCAAGTCTGGGCCTATATTATCTCAGATCATTTTAATGTGCGTACAGTTTGTCCAATAGAAAAACTTTTATATTCTTCAGAGATTCTGTCATTTCAATGTGCATATTATTTCTCCAGTCGAATAACTTTTACATTCTTCAGAAATTCTATCATAATGTCTTGAAGACAATAGCGTTCAGAAAAAGGTAAAGATAGACATACAAAATACTATACCTCCATGGCACCAACTGAAGAGTAGGTTAAGAGCTATTACCACGTCCCATTGAATTATGACCTGATGCATTCCTGAAAGCAGGAAAAATACATTGATTTTTCTCACAGTAAAAAATCAAAATAGTAACAACGTAACATATTTACAAGAAATAATGAGATGATTACACGGTTTCTTACAGAACATTATTCTCTTCGATGAGAATCATTGCTTAGCAAGAAAGAAGAGAGGGGAGGGAAGAAGGAAGCAAGGAGAAGAAGACTGGCCAGAGGGAGAAAGAAGGAAAACGAATGTCACTGGCATATGAGGAAGCTCAAGGTCAATGAATTATTTAAATATGGCTCTTCTAGACAAAGTCTCCCTAACTCCCACCCAAAACCTCTTCTTGCACGGGTCTGGGTAAGAAGGTGGGGGGACTGAGAAGATTCACCGGTGAGTAACTATGACCAGGATTCATTGTGATTTCCATCCTGTTAGATATAAACTGAGCCCTGTGAGAAGCAGGAGAGGAGATTTCACTATCAGCAAGAGCCAGGAGCAGAGTGTATCATCTGGACCAAGAGATCCTCCATGGTCCAGAAGAGAACTGTGACCTCAGAGGAGCAGCATCAGAATCAGGGCTAGCGCATGCGACGAGTGGACTTCGCAGCCCACAGAGCAAGTAAAGCTGAGGGCTCGCGAGCAAGAGTCGGGTTTGTGGAATGCTGTGCCTCTGGACATTACTTTACGGGAACTGGGTTTGCTGATCACAGTGCTGGAACGGAATGCCTTCCTGCAGGGGCTTGTGCCAGCGTGGCAGGCCCTTTGGCCATTTCTTAGTGGCCCTGAAAGAACTTTGTAGGATATCCCGACTGAGAAACTATATCTTGAGCAAGCTTCATCTGCCTTATAACCTCTTCTCTTCTTTCGTAAACCCTATCATTGTGAGCATTATCTGTCAGTTACATGTGGTCATTGCAACAAACTGCTGAACTCAGTACCTGGAAAAGCAGAGAAAGTTGTGTGTACGATGAGGAGGTATGATAAGACATGGATCAGGAATGCAAGAAAATGGGATTTCATGACTTCAAAATAGACTATGACGTATCTCAGTGGGATATATTTACCTTTGCTAAAATAATATTTCTGCTTGTCTTTCTTACAAAAAATACTCTCTCCTCTAATTTCTGATGATGAATTCTGATTCATCAGGAGGACCTGATCAGAATCACACAACTATTCCATCCTGAAAATATCAGTCTTTGCTGAGAAAAATATGAATAAAACAAAATCTCAGAATCCCCAGAGAGAAACTGTTCAAATGAGGACAGAAGAAGTGAACAAGGCACGTGTGCATCTATCACCTGCTAAACATACAGAAAACCCTCGCCCCCATCAAAACCTCCAAGCAAATCCATTAGAGAAGCTCAAAATTATACTGCCCATAGTTTACAACCGAAATTACATTCTTGCTAGTTCTAGTGAAGACCTTGATGATTTAACAACCCGTTGCCATCAAGTCAGTTCTGACTCATATTATCCTATAATTTATAATAAACACTATTTTGTGATATTTAGTTACTTAATAAAACTTGAGCGTGAAGTTCACCTATAAAAGAATAGCAGCATCATAAAACTCATGACTCATCAAATAGCATAAAACATAATTTTTTTAAAAATTGGGGACCCCATAAAACTAAACAAAATTTCACCACCATGGAGCCAATTCTAACTCATAGTTATTCTCCAGGACACACTGGAACTGCCCCCTTCGGGTTTCCTCGACTTTTAAATCTTTCCAGAGGTAGACAGCTTTAACTTTTTCCTTTGAGTGGCTGATGGGTTTGAACCATTGACCTTGCAGTTAGCAGCGCAATGCATAGCCCACTACACTACAACAGTTCCTCTAGCTCGTGTAGACAGGGTAAACTTTCATCCATTGTGAGCAGGAGTAGGTCTTTATAATCAATAAACAAAGCCAATCCAGAGGTCTTCTCAGTTATAAGGTAACTCCTTACAGGAGAAACACAAATGTGACTATTTAACAAGACTCACACGATATAGGAGATTGACGTTCATCAGCAGCCACGGCATGGAATATTACTAGGACTTAGGAGAGAAAGCAAGGTGACCCAAATATTTCTAAAAGACTTTTCAAGTTCATCGTTGTCTCTTTACCTTTCAACTTGCTTGAGGCACATAATTCCTCTCTCGGGCCAGGCTGCTGCTCTGGGTGCTGGTGTCTTTCCCTGCAGTCCGTCTGCCAGTCATCACTTCAGATGTTCAGCTCTGAGCAAATGGAAATGTCAGCAGAGTCCTGACCTACATTTCAGATTCTTGAAGAGAAACGCAAACGGTCATTGTGAAATGACTGGTGCTCGTGTCGCTCTTTGGGAAAACCCAGATTACTGAAAATGAACCGCTCTGTCAGTACTTTTTTTTTCTCAGATTAATTGAAAATTATTTTTCTCCTCTATGAAGTAGAGCACACACTGTAAGATATCAAAACCATGATAGTTTTAATTTGCAACCAACACTGATATTGATTAGAAATCTTTTTTTTGTTTGTTTTAGTTTTTTAAAAGAAAAGCAATTTTAAGTGCCCCCGCTTGTTCACTCATTTAATGAAACAGCCTGTTATTGTTTTAATGCATTAGGTGCCAGGCATTGTTCTGTGCTTGATAAAATGGTGATTAATTGCAGGTCAACTTTTTGTTCTATTGTTTACAGTGGTTAAATTGGATTCGACTTCTTTGAACTGTTTTCATGGTTTAGCAAAAGATCACAAGCAAATTATAAATGTATCAAATGGTTGATTTATTGTTAGTAGAAATCGACTCAACAGTACCTAAGAACAACAGGCACTGCCTCACGGGGCCTTTCCGGGCATACCCTCCCTCTTGCCACACCATTTGCATTTGTTGAATATGTGTTTATTTTCACTCTCTGTGCTTTCTTCTACTGTAAATGACACGTCCCTCATCTCCTCTGTGGTGAGGAGTTTGTAAAGTGGGAACTTGGATGATGTGGTTTTTTTCTATTTTTATGTAAGAATACCGAATTAGAATAACCTAGAAGACCATTTCAGACATTCCTATACTGGAACTCATTCTAGTCAATTAAATCAACATCTTTGTGGGAGTTGGGCATTGATATATATTTTTTTAAGTTCCCAATTGTAAGGAGCATCCACAGTTAAGAAACACCGTATTATGTGAATACGGGTGGCTTTGAAGACCACACTGAAGAAATGGCTACCAATTGGGTTTGAAAGATTAGCAAATTGTCTATCAGTTTGTCATACGGGGTGACTTGTATGATGCTGTGATGCTAGAAGCTACGGCCCTGGTCTTTCAAATACCAGCCGGGTCACTCAAGGTGAACAGGTTGCAGCAGAGCTTTTAGATCTTACAAAGAAGAAATAAACTGTCCACTTCGGAGGAATTAGGCAATGAAAACCTTAAGAATAGCAGCCAAACATTGTCAGCCAATGAAAACCGTATGAAGAGCAGCCAAGTTTTTCCCGAAGGGCCTCAAAATATGGCGTGGGAAGAGCTGCCCTCACAGAGTAGAGTTGACCATACTGACCCGGGTGGATGGCGTAAAGCCTTCAGGATCTTCATTTGCTGATGGGGGCTGGCTCGAAATGAGAAGAAAAGGTTACTAACATCTAAGAATTGGAGTGTAGTAAATATGAATCTTCTAGAAAAATTGAAAGTCAATAAAAATGAAATTAAATGCATAAAGATTGATATCCTAGCCTTCAGTGAGCGGAACTGGAGTGTATTGGCCATTTTGAATAAGAAAATCATATTGTTGCCTGTGCTGGAAATGAGACAGTCAAAAGGAATAGTATTGCATTCGTTGTCCAAAGGGATGCTTCAAGATTTATCTTGAAGTACAATGCTGTCTGTGATAATATTATATCTGTCCACATACATGGAAATCCAATTAGTACAACTATTTTTCAAATGTATCTACCAACCTCAAAAACTAGTGATGCAGAAACTGAAGAATTCTACCAACTTCTTCAGCCTTAATTTGATCAAATGTGCCATCAAGATGCTTTGATAGTTATTGGAGAATGGACTGCAAAAGTTAGAAACAAACAAACAAAAAAGTTAGAAACAAAAAACAAGGAGCAGTGTTTGGGAGATGCAGTCTTGGTGACAGAAAGAAAGCTAGATGTACCCTGAGAGATTTTTTCAAGACCAATGACTTCATCACTGATACCAATTTTCAACAATACAAAGGTCAACCGTACAGGTGGAATTCTCCAGATAGGATACACAGGAATCAAACTGACTAGATTGACTATAGAACAGACCATCAATTGCCCATATGTTACTACAGGTTGAAGCTGGAAAAAATTAAAACAAGTCTACTAGAGCCAAATTATAAGCTAGTGCCTTTCGAGATGAATTTTGAGACCATCTCAAGAACAGCTTTTCTACATTGAAAACTAATGACAGAAGACTGGATGCGCTGTGGGAGGACATCAAGAGCGTCATTCATGAAGAAAGCAAAAGGTCATTAAAGAGACATGAAAGAACGAAAAGATCAAAGGGGATTTCAGAAAGGACGCTAAACTTGCTCTTAATCATAGAGTATCTAAGCCAAATGGAAGAAATGATGAACTCAAAGAGCTGAACTGAAAATTTCAAAATGCAGCTTGAGAAGACAAAGTCAAATATTATAATGAAATGCAAAACCCTAGAGTTAAATAACCAAAAAGGAAGAACATGCTCAGTATTATCGTAAACTGAAAGAATTGAAGAAAAAAAATCAATTCTCAAGTTACAATATTGAAAGACTCTATGGGCAAAACATTGAATAATGCAGGAAGCATCAAAAGAAGATGGAAAGAATACACAGAGTCACTGCTCCAAAAAGAACTATTTGACATTCCACCATTTCTGAAGACAGTATATGAGCACAACCAAGGCTACAGAAATTGATGGAATATCAATTGAAATGTTTCAACAAGCTCTCACTCGCAAAGGTCATTTATAGAGGTCTAAATACAGGCATGTACATAGTCCCACAGTCAGTCTAGTCAATTTGATGCCTGTGTATCCAAATTCAGCCTTAAT